TTACTTCCAGTCCTACAGTAGACTATAAGCCCCAGGGAGGGTAGGTATATATTTTTTTAGTTTATCTCAAATGAAATATTTATAAAATATTTTATAAGCCCTATATAAATACTAGCTATTATTATTGTTATTATTATTTTTTTTATCTAAGCTTTGTATGCCACCAATCCCTAGCTCAGTAGGCATATCTGTTGAATTGGATTCCATTAAATTAGACCATGTGGTTTAGGGGAGAAAGCGCTAGATTTGGAATCAAAAGATCTGGATTCCAATCTAGGCTTTGCCACTTTTTGTGTGACCTTGGCCAAGTTATTTAAACCTTCTGGCTCTCAATTTCTCCATCTGTAAAATTGAGGGGGGCAGTGAGGGTGGACTTGATGACTGCTAAAACCCCTTTCAGCTCTAAAGCTATGATCCTGTAAACCTATAAATGGAATAGGCAGGGGTAGGAGTGTGTGTGTGTGTGTTGAGGGTGTTCCAAGTCATGAGTAAAAATAAAACCAAAGGGACAGAGGCAGGAAAGCACATAATATACATGGGGAACAGCAAGAAGTCGAAGATGGTTTTCTGCTGAATCGCAGAGGGTAGCAATACAAGAACAGGCTGGAATGGGAGGAAGTGGAAGGCCTTGAATGCCAGCCAGAAGAGTTTGAGCTTTACTTGGTAAACAGTAGGGAGTATTGAAGAGTTTTGAGCAAAGAAGTAACATGGTTAAATATGTGATTAAGGAAGTGAGTATGTGAAGGGAAGATTGGAGGGAAGAGTATAAGTGAGAAGAGCCAGTAAGAGGCTGTTGGCAGTAGTTCAAGTAGGTGGTAGGAGAGACCGGACTAGAAAATGGCAGTGGGAATTGAGAAGAGGAAGAAGATGAGAGACATTTTGATAACAAAAATCAACAAAATTTGGTAACTGGATACGAGAAGTAAGAAAAAGAGGAGAATCGAATATAACACCAGGATTTTGAATGTGAGTCTGGGTAGGTGGTTGCACCACTGACAAAAAGTGTCAGGGAGAAATGTCCTGGAGACAGTTGATAATACAAGTCTGAACCTCAGGAGAGAGACCAGAACTGAAAACACAAATCTCGAAGCTAGTTATCTTATCCTCTTGTCACCTTGGATGTGATGAGTGAGGGAATGATGTTACTGTATCCAAAGTATGAAATGAGACAAAAAAAAAATCCCTCTCATTCCATGGAGGTAAGTGGCTATCCTTTCACCATTCTGAATAACAAAGAATGACAATGTTCTCACATTCATGGTGTGTACCCTTTCTAATTATAATTCTTTTTGGAATTATGATAAGCATTAAGCTTTATAGAGATACAATTTCTGAATTATCAGAAATCAAAGTTTCAATGCAGACACACATACACATAATTACTATAGAACTACTGACTTCTTTCCAATATAAAGGACTCACTGGGCAAATTCCCCCTCACCAGAGGCAAATCCAACCTAGGGTTTACAAATACTTATGTAAGCTGTGACCTACCCCACCCCCAATTCCCACCCCCACGCTTTTGACTTAAATGGACTAGTTTCATTCTTAGAGAAAGACTCAAAATAAGCACTCTTTTGCTCATATAACCCCACCCAGAGTTTAAGACGAGAAATTCTTCAAACATAACTCGTTTCTAGGGCTCCACCAGAAAGTCCTCCAATTCCCATACAAGCACTCAAGGTAACAATGCATATATCAAGTACAGGACAGACTTTATTCCACATAATAGAAAATGCAAGAAACACATAAAAGACCCATAGTAGCCCATTTGAAAAATCAATACAATCATCTTTTCTCTACAGTGAGTCAAACCATTCCCCAAGGCTCCTCAATTTTTCAGACTCATAGCACCACCCTGTGGTTTAGATTCTCCTCAGGAGGGAAATGAACTTGGGGTTCCTGGGGAAACAATTCCCCCAACATTCTGGTGAATCCCTCTTTATCCCAGGGGCCTATACAGGAATCTAGCCTTATGGTACTATCCTGGAGGCTTAGATTGCCCCAGAAGGAAATGAACTTGAGGGTGCTACAGCAGTTAATCCAATCCCCATTGCACCTACACTGTCTGAATAACTCACAGTATTAGCAAAGGACAAAATTCAAGTGTTTTTTCAAAGGTCTTCATCTATGTCATGGCTTTGGTCCCTTGCTGATCTTCCATCTTCCAGGGTGTAGCCATATGCTTACTTCCCAGGAACTCCCACCCCTTCTTTTGTTAGAAGGCTGACTTTGGGGATTGAGTTGCCTAAGAATTCAACATTGCCCGTTTTATCCCCTCCACTTTTATCCAAGAGGCAAGGGTTCAGGGACTGCCCTCTCAGGTCACATGGAGAAGGGCACATACAACTTCCACTGGGGTAATTTCCATTTGCAGTTTCTAAGCTGAAGAGATCTCCTTCAGAGCCCGTGTCTTCTGTTAGTTCTGATGGGCTCTTGTTTCTTCCAAAAAAGGAAAAGGCAATAAGAAAAAAAAAAGGCTATTTGCAATGAAGATTTTCCTTTTAAAGCCAATACAGAATGGCTCCTCCCACAAAAGTCCACCTTAAAAAAGTTCATGCCAACCAATTATTCCCTCAATAGGTCCATAATGAGTCAAGAATGGATCAAAATGGGCAGGTTCACTCCTTCCATAGGAAAATGCAATAAAAGTTCTAAAGACTTATACCCTACAAGCTTATTCTTAACATATGTAAATATACTCCTAGTTATCTCAACACCCTTCTTCTCTCCTCTCCATGTTATGTATGTCTTGGTTACACACACACACATGCATGCACACATACACACACACACTCGAGAACACATATGTTCTTTTCATGAAGATCCTAGACAGCTTCATCTCCAACAAATAAGGAAGGCCAAGGGCCAAGTTTAAAAAAAAAAGGGGGGGAGGGGGGCATTTCTCCCAAGAAACAGGCTGGCATAGTGACTCAAAAGACATGGATGCAAATCTTGCCTCTGACACAAGTGTGATTCTGGGCGGCTAACTTAACCTCAGTGTCTCTTCAGCAACTCCCTAGAGCTCCCTATCTACTAACTAAGGTTAGGGATCTGCACAGGTGAAAGAAGTTCCCCAAGCAAAATTACGGATCCTTCTTGTATTCCTATGACCATCGGGAATCCTCATGGGAGTCCTAGCTTGATACTGATGAGGAAGAAGCCTAGATCAAATGTACTCTTTTTTGTCTCCCCAACTCACCAAGGGATTAAAGTTTTTGATAAATTGGATTGTCCTCAGAGTCTGACAAGTGCAGGATCTCCCCCATCATCAGCACCCCAAAAGAGACCTAAAATCTAGTCACAGTGGACAATGAGAAAGCTTACACTGGATTAGGACCCTAGAAAGTGTCCCTGAAGTGCACTCATGCTCTTAGGGAAGATTTAGGGGTCCTAGGATTAGCCCCATGCTTAAGAGTTTATAGGAGGCACTTGGAAGCCCCATATGTCTTATATGTACACATTCACTAAACCAGTGACACCGAGAGCCCCTCCTAGATCCAACAAGAATTCTTGGTGTCACGGAATGAGCACTCTAACACTTTAGAATACTTAGAATTTGACTTTAAAAGCCCTTCACAACCTTGTCTCCCCCTGCCTTTCCATTCTTTTTACTTTACTTCTTTCCTCATACTCTATGACCTAGCAACACTGGCCTCCTTGCTGTTCTTTGTACAAGATGCTCCATGTCTAGATTCCTGCTTTTTCATTAGCTGTCTCTCATGCCTAGAATGCTGTCCCTCCTCTGCTCTGCCTACTCATTTCCCTAGCTTCCCACCTTAAATCCTACCTTCTGCAGGAGGTCCTTCATGGTTTCTCCGACTGTTGATTCCTTCCCTCTGAAAATACCTCCAATTTTCCCTGTATATATCTTATTTGTACATAGTTGTTTGCATGTCACTTCCCCCATTAGAATGTTAGCTCCTTAAGGGCAAGGAACATGTCTTCACCTTTCTTTTTATCTCCAGCACTTCACACAGTGCCTGACACATAAGCATTTAATAAATGCCCATTGACTGATTGATTTTAGTCCCTATTATCTAATAGATGTGAAGTCCTAAGAAAGAGACCAGAGAAAAAAATTGTCTTATAATTGCCCTTCAATTATGTTAGTCATTTGGGAGGAGGGGGAGAAGAGAAGATTTTTTCTATTTAAAAAAATAGCTTTTCACATCTCTAATCACTAAATACATATTCTGATTTCCCTAAAAGTTTTCTTTTTCCAGAAGAACTTTTCCATTGACAACTATAAAGCTCTAATGCCAATTGAGAATGGTAAACAATACCCCTCAGCTGAGGCTACCCACTAATCAGATACTTGTTGCATAATAACCCCTTCCTGATTGATAGGAACCTGGCTAAAAGGGGAGAAATAAGGGAGAGGAATAAATGTGAATAGCTAGGCACAAACCTATAGTACAACAGGTTGGTGGATATCCCTATAGGGTACTTACTAGGCCCACAGCCTGGGGTGGGCAGTCCTAGAAAGTTGACCTGTACTATGGTGAAACATCCTCCAAATACTAACCTCATTGCTACTGAGTAGGGTGCCAGTCTGGCACAGAGAAAGTCCTTGGTAAGTAGCTTTTGAATTAAATTGTGAGAATGGGATAGAAGTATCATTTGATTGGTGCTGGAAATGATTTCTTCCTCCTATATTCTCATAGTGCTGTATACTCCTCTTGTGCTCTTGTATTCTAGTTTGCATATTTATCTATGTACCTATCATCTTCCTCTAGAGTGAAAGCTTGAGGTCAAGGACCTCATTTAGCTTCACGAATATTCTTGCACCTAGTACCATACACACAGTAGGCACTTAATAAATGTTGTTGCATGGATGAATGTTGAATAGAGAGAATGAATGAATAAATAAAGGAAAAAGCAATTATTGAGTGTTTGCTATGTAACAGGCACTAAAATAAGTAGGGAGGAAGAAAGGAGAAAATTATAGAGATCCTACTACTTTCCAGAAGGTGTTATACACATTTTTCTTCTTTCAGGTGCAACCTGGCACCTGTCCAGGAGTATGCCCAGGATGTGGGGGTCAAAACAGACCTGGTAACCATGAACCCCTCTGTCATCCAGAGGGCCTTCGAGGACTTGGTCAATGAGACCTGGAGGGAAAAACTTCTTCAACGCCTGCACAGCCTCAATGGCAGCATCCTGTGGATTCCAGCTTTCATGGCCAAGGGTGGCAAGGAGAGGGTAGAGTGGGTGAATGAGCTCATCCTGAAGCACCATGTCAATGTGCGCACAGCCTACCCTTCATTGCGCCTGCTACATGCTGTCCGAGGGTAAGAGTGCCTCTCCCTGAGGCTAGGAGATGATGTAGTTGACAAAGATGTAGGCTGGGCATATGGCCTTTTTATCACCATATGGAGCCTCTTGCAAGTTGGGCGACTCGTAATCAAACTGAGTCTTCTTGCCTGCAAGGTGTCATCTCTGAAAAGATGGATGGGAAATTCTTTAATTACAATTAGATTAAGTCATTAGTGATGATGTCTTCCTTTTGGGGACTGTCTCTCTTCCTGGGAAAGTGAGTTGAATTGAGAAAATGAATTGAGAAAAGGATGTAGGGGGTAACCAGAAGCTCTGTAGTGCTTCCCTGACCCTCATCCTTTCTGAGCCAGTGGTAATAATAAATCACCACCATCTGTTGGTTCTTCACCAGCCCTAGCCAAATAAGTTGACATTCACACAGCATTCACATCACAGTCTGCTGATTCTCTCCACCCCTTAACATAATATGGCATCCATCAGCCTGGCACTTATACTGGCATATCACGCCATCTAGGGCAGTGTCGATGGAGAAACCCAGAATTAAATAGTGAATATTCCACATTCCCCAACTTCACAGCATGTGCTCAGTTCCTGGGCCCTGTTGCCCTTGTGACAAACGGGATGCCGAGAACCCTAGGAGGCCTACAAAGAAAGACCAGGTGGTCCATTGTGGCCCCCAGGCTTACCCAAAAGTATTATAAAGCCCTTCATATGGATCCAAAATGAAAAGGAATTTACATACCTAGTCAAAGGGAAGCTCTCAGATTCCTTCAGTTTTCTCATGATGGTGAGTTATAGAATACCACCCATGTCCCAGGCCTATGAACAGCACCCTTCATTGCAGGAGCTAGTGAACCTGAAGCATCCATCCTGCAAGAAATAATGACAACGGCTCACATTTATGTAATACTTTAAGATTCTAAAAGGGAACTACATAAAGTATTTCATTTGATCCTCACAATAATCCTGTGAGGTAGAAGCTATTATTTTTTTTTCCCATTTTATGGGTAAGGAAACAGAGGCTGAACAAGGTTAACTGACTTAGCCAGGGTCACACAGCTAGTAAATATCTGAGGCAGAATTTTCACCCAGGTCTTCCTGATTCTAAGTCTGGTATTCTGTCCACTTCATCCCATTGCTTTTCTGTGTAGGATAAGTAAATAAATTCAAGAAAGGTTTCAATCATGACAGATATCTAATAAGTTATTAAGAGTAAGTAAGGAAGTCTAAGGTACATCCCTAAATATTTGATGTTAATATCAAAGAGGACAACAATGCCCTCTTTCAAATCCTTCATTGTGCTGCTATCAAGGACAGAACAGTTAGTTTGGTAAGTCAGACCCAAAAGGATAGTTCTTAAGCTTCATGTATTTTATAATAATCCTTCCCCTGGGAGGCAACTTAACTTAAATGTCTTGTTATGGGTCAGAAAGGATTAATGAGAAAGAAGAGTAGCCTGCAGGTAAAGAGGAAAAACACTCTTGAAAGGGAACCAGGCAGGGGGCAAAGGACCACAGGAAGGCAGAGTTATTTCTAGCTGTAATTGACTTCCTTTCATCTGTCAAAATTGCTCTAAACTCCTGGAATAAGCCCTTTAAACAAATAGGCTGCTAATCCTGAGATTGTGGCATCTTTCTATGCTAGAAATTCCCAGAAGGGTGAACTAATTGAGAACCTAGCTGTATCAGGCTACAATGAAATGCAAGCATTTATTAAGTACCTACTATATGCTAGGCAATGTGCTAGGTGCTGGGGATACAGAGACAATAACAAAACAATCTTTTCTCTCAGGGAGCTTACATTCCACTTGGAAGAAAATAGGTCCCAGCTTTGAACAAAGAGAGGAGAAGGAATTCTGGGGCCTAACTAGTGAACATAGTTTTTCTCTTAGTTGAGCCATAAGATTTGTGGATGGTATAATGGGGCAACAGCAGAATGTCAGTGAGTGGCATGATTCTATACCATATCTGTAGAGATGGACAGAATTCACTCATAACCCCTTCATACACTGGGGCTCAAAAACTCAATTTCCCAAGTACAAAATAGTGGAGTCATAGATAAGGAGCAATTCAGCTGGGGGAAAAAAAAAACTAAGGGTTTTAGTGAACTGAAAGCTGAGCATAAATCAGTAATGTGGAAGCGGGAAAGTACATACTTTAAAGAGTAGGAAGGAGATCATTCCACTGTATGCTGTCCTGCTTAGACCACATCTGGAGTCACATGTTTATTTCTGGATGCCATAGACTAGGAAAGACATTCAGAAGCTGGAGAGTACCCCAGCTCAAAGTAACCAGAATGGTCAAAGGCCTTGAGTTCAATTAGTAAGGATTAGTTGAAGGAATTCAGGATGTTTCAACTGGAAAAAAGAAGAGTTATAGAAGATATGGTATCTGTATTCAAGTATTTGAAGGGCTACCATATGGAAGATGAATTGAATATGTTTTACTTGGCCCCACAGAGCAGAACTAGGAACAGTGGGTAGTAGTTGCGAAGAGCAGATTTAGATTTGTAAAAGAGGGGGAAAAATTCTTAGCAATCAAAGCTATCCCAAAGCAGAACAGCCTGCCTTCTCAAAAGGGAATAGTTTCCCTCTCTTTAAAAGTCTTCAAGCAAAAGCTAGATGGTCACATGTCAGGTCCATTACAGAAGGGATTCTAGTTCAGGTAGACATTGGATCTTGTGGTCATGAGGATATCTTCCAGCTCTGATGTTCCATGACCCTATGTTTGAGAAGTTCATCATCATCATTTAGATTTTGAAACCAAACAGGCACTATGGGGATGTGGTAAAGCTCCTGAGATAATGACTGTGAGAGCCTTTCTTTGGATGAGAGCTATCCATATCATAAGCTAAGAGCCTTCAGCAAACCGGAAGGGAGAGAGGAAGATGAGGCTAGTTGGAAGTAGTTGCAGTTGTCTCAAAGACAGAAGAGCATTCCTGATGGGAAAAAGTATTCAACAAATGCTTGAAATTGATTAGCCTTGTGTTTCTCTTGGTGACATCTGATCTATTGACAGACATTTGTGTGGCTTCCAAGAGTGATAGCTAGGCTCCCATCTTTATGTTCAGAGAATCACATTGATACATGTCATTTTGTCATCATGCCCGCTCTAGTCATGGGCATCTAAGGTGATTAGTCAAGTACTACCTTAAAGGGAGAATTGAGAGTTTGAAGAAAGAGCCCGAACTGACAGCCTTACACATGAATCCCCAAACAAGGAGCTGGCAGGAGCTAAGGCCTACCCATGGCAGAGGCCAGGGAGCTGCCAGGCAGATTGGACTGGCTTCCTCCATGTGGACTTAGGTAACCTGGGAGAGCAGCTGGCTTGCCCTCCCTGCCGAGTGTTAGAATGCAGAGGGCCAGGCTTTTGGCAAGTGAGGTGAGAAACAGGGGGGGAAGAGTTCCACAAATGAGTCACAGAGGTAATTGGCTATGGCAGTGAGAAGTGGGAAACAAGAGAGTCAGCAGCTGGTACCGAATAGATCTAATTCAATTACGGCCATGGAGAAGGTTGTAACCCACAGAGAGAATAGCCCCCTTAGCCAGAAAAGCTACACGCTGACCTGTTCAGCCCCTCTAGTTCTCTTGCTTCCCACCCACTAGAGTGAAAGAACTGCTGTAAATCGATGCCTAATTAATGGCTCCCGGATGCCTCGCTGATTTCTTTAAGACCCTGTCCCCTTTGCACAGACATATCCTCAGCCAGGGCAGAAGAGATACTAAATAAAGTATTTAAGAAAAGGTGTTCCCGATGAGTCCCTGTGGCTTATCAGCCTAGTGCAGAAATCACCTGGCCAGCAGCCAGGTCCATGAGCTCCTGCTAAGGTCAAGGTACAGAAAGAAAGAAAGAAAGAGAGAGAGAAAGAGATCACAGATCAGGTTGGTGGTGCGTACTCTTCGAGGTATTTCTATATCTTTTAACTAACTACTTGACTTCTTATCCTAGTGCTATCTCTCAAAATCAGAGAACTGTGTAAGGACGCTTTTGTATTGAGACTCTTAGGGAAATGTTAGATCTGGAATCTAAGTGATTTGCTCTAGTCTGAGTATCTCTGGGACCTAATTGTGCTTCGTAGTTTCTCTACAGGGAGTTCAGTAATTGTTAAAATGTTTTTTAAAGGAACGGGACATAGCTATGGTGCTTACTTCCCTCCCTGAGATGTTCCTGGAGTCAGTTTCCTTGAAGAACGAATATTTTCTTGTTCCTCATGAATTTTGAATTATATTTAACAATTGCCCAAGAGGCCCCCGATTGGATTCTATGGAGAAGATAATGATAAAGGTGGATACTGTCCCAATCTAGAAGACTTACAATCCAGTACTGACAATAGTCTTCGGCTAAATTAGATAAATACAGCCATTGACTCACCATAGCAATAATGCAGAGAACCTCCTTAGAGCTGAACTATTCTGACTTCTTCCTTTTTATAGCTGGGCTCACTGAAGCTCACAAAGATTGAGTGACTTGCCCAGGGTTTCACCGGTAAACCCTTACCTCCTAGCTCTTAGTTTAGTGGTTTCTACACTATACCACACTGAAAAGGTACAGGTATGTTTATAATACCTGGGATCCTTCAAGTAAAGGAAAGCAGCAGTTAAGATTGTGGCCAGCAATTCACAAAAGACCACTCAACCCTCTTTCAACAGTTTGGTGATAATTTAGTTAATTCATATATACATATGTGTCTCCTCCAAATCTAGACAAGAATATTTACAGGAGTTAATCCAGGTAAAATTAATTAATAGCATAAATTTTCTTGTTGAAATATAGTTTTACAATCTGATATTTGAATGACATTGCTAACGTGTCATTCCTTGGCTCCAAAATCAATTTCACCAAACTTGGAACTTCAGGAGCCCAAAAGTAAATGATAGCTCTAGTATAGACCTGCTCTAAACTTTCTATTTCTTTGATAAACTGGCTTGTGACTGGTGGGGTGGAGGAAGGGAAAGGGGAAAGGGGGAAAAAGGAGTGGGAGGAGGTAAGTGAAATTTAGGTCCCAACGCTGATTT